AAAAAAAGCATCTACAATGACGCAAACACGCCAAAAATTGTGACCAATCAGTGTTCTTCTACTGCGGTGAATAAGGCAGATGATAACTATCAACCAATCAGCAGCCTCGGTGTCGTTTCTCAAGTACGAATGGCTCTGATTGGATGACGAGCGGGGTGTTTTAAATTTGTGTTTTTGCATATTCGCATAAAATGGAGGTTAGTTCTGGGCGAGCACTCGAACTATACCGAAATGTAGGCTCAAACCTTTTCAAAAAAATCTGAAATCACTTGTAAAAGAATGAGAATATACTCTACCGTCTTCATATATTTCATTCGAAAAAAAAAATCCGTTCATGAATATTTTGGCAGTAACATGAAGATGATTACTAACAAGACCTGTATCAAGCCAGAGTGGTTTTATCATCAGACCCTCGCATTCACAGCGACGGTATTCTACACATGCAGAAAGAAATTAACTTAAGGGATTCGAAATTTGGCCAATGGAATTTAAAGACGCCCTAATTTGACACAATATTAATAAAATATCAATAAAAAGGAAACATTTTACTAAGAAAAACTGCATTAATGAGTAAGATGAAATTTAGTCAATTGAAAGTAGTTCCTATCTCCCTTTAACGGGGATTATGATTACATTTTGAATTCATGTACAACAAAAGAGATTCAACAAACGATTATCCGTGTAAAATATTCTTGTTTTGGTTGACAGAATACATATATTATTGAAGTAAATCTTAACTTTACCTTTTCACATGGATTAGAAAATACTTAGAGCACGTGTATAATACCACACAATGTCTTTGTAAGTTTATCATTCAGAGTCTAAATAGTGCGGATTCTTTCTAATTTATAAAAGCAGTAGCTGCCAAATAGTGCAACGGTGTCATGAGTAATACAAATGCTGTACAAATGCTGTATATTGGGCAAAAACACCAGTCAATACGTGGAAGTTCAGATAACCATTGGTGCTGCATTTGGGCTGCTCTTTTACGGGTATGGAAGACCCATGTTCATCTTGATTTTATCTCATATTGTAACCTGCTCCTAGGCTATGGAATATCCCCTTGCACAGCAAGGGTCGATGACATGCGAGCAGATTCGGCGATTGATTTTGCGAAACAAGACTGTGTCTTGACCTCGAGATTCTGACCATTCGGCGGGCGCCTTCTATCGGGTCTTCTGTATAGTTGTTGTATAACAAAATCATGTCAGCCACATTGACCAATCAACAGCTTAGTCCACGTTTCTGATCGAAATGACGTCGCAAAGTCTAAAGTCGACTCTGATTGGCTGGCGCGCGGGGTTGCATGAAATTTGCATTGCTCACAATACAGGGCGAGTCAAAACAAACAAAAGACACCCAAATGGCAGGACCAATTTTGAATGAAGTTTTGCATCTAGCACTTTCAAAATCTAAGATAAGAAAGCCCAGTCATTAAGCTTTCTTTTACTAAAAGAATCATTCAAATCACTCATGTACTTTTCAAGTTATATTAGGGATGCATGTGAACTGTTTTCGTTTTACTGAAAAGAACACTTACTTTTTTGTGATCCGTGGACAGAACTTTAAAACGGCGCTTGTGTTCAAAATTCCGTAACTTGAAAAGTGCATGAGTGATTTGAATGATTCTTGTATTTAGGAGAAAGCTCATTGATTGGGCTTTCATATCCTAGATTTTGAAAGTGCTATAGGCAAAACTTTATTAAAAAATTGGTCCTGACATTTTTTTTTTTTTTTTACTCACTCCGTATATCAGATGTTACCGGTAGTTACGAATAGGGCTCCATTGGAAAACGACTGATACTCAGACTAACCAATGTATTGAACTCGGTCTACAGACAGATCCATTAAGCCCCGCCCACTGCGCACGTGGCCGTGGGCAATGACACGTGCACCTATCCAATGCCTCACTGCATGTTCAAGCCGCACGCGTTATATGCTAGAACACGCATGTCGGACTTTTGCGCACGCTTGTCGTACACGGCTGTGATTGGTCAACAGACATCATAGGGCGGGGCTAAATTAATTGGTCTATTTGGTAACACCAAAAACTGTCACATCAGTCATTTAGTGTGGCCAACTGCACTTGTTACAATGATAACTTAAAATTTACAATAAGACAGAAGTCTCACTAGCTCAATTTTGTATTAACAAAAATATATGTGCCTATACAAATTTGGATTTTGATTTGTTACAATACAAACAAAGTCAAGACAAATATTAAATACACAATGGAAACAAACTTGTTTCTGGCATTTTGTGTTTGTGTCTGCCTATTTTTCTTTCCTTGTTGTTTTTTGTTGTTGCTTTTAGGCAATTTTCTTCATAGTAAGGTGAGTTGGCACGGAGTTGTTGCAGTTAACAAATTATTTAAACTAGAAAACAATGCTATGAGGTAAATATCTTTCGTGAACTGGTGTATTTCAGATTTCATAACGCATATAAAAATGGGATAGAAAACGATTTTAGATGTCGAAAAAAAAATATACAAAGTGTTATTTTCCTGTATTCCATACGAAGCTGTAACAAACACTAATAGAATAAATGGCACTTACGACTAAAGCCAAAAAACACAGAATTTCAAGAGTTTAACGATGATAACTAGTCAAACTTTCTCAATTCAGATTCACAATAAGGTTCTAACTTTACTGTTCACATATGGTACACAGAAATACAAGCATATTATATATACCAAATACCAAAATGATCGTGAATAAGTGAAAACCACTCAAAAATGAGTTTGAGATTTGATTCTTATACTGGAAGGAAACTTCTTGCTTTCGTCAACTAAATTGACTGATGAAAGAAATCTCATTCACTTCTTTTTCCCCGAAAGTTGGGAAAATCTCTAAACTAACACTAGTGATATTGTTAGCATATTAAACATTTAAAAATCACTGCCATTTCACAACCATTTCTTTTGTTAAAAAAATTCCTTCCTCCGGCCACCTGTCCCTGAGAGTATAACATTGACAATTCATTGTTGTGATTTGTTTCATCAAAATATATTTACTGAATTGTTACATGTACATGAGGACGAATTTTGTTTATAGGTCCTTCTATAAATTCGGGGTCCAAATTGTGAGATTTTCCCTGTCACAGTCTACTCATTACATGTACTTTGTGATTTACCATTCAAGTACAGTATCATTAATTAACTCAAACCGCCCTGAATCCTTCAAAGTCCTCTTTGCCAAAGTGGAGGAATTTGGAGGATTGAGGTTATATGGCAAAAGCGCGTTACTGATTTCGTAGGATGCACTTTGTCAAGGTCTTGGGGAGGACTTTGTGTATTTTTTTTGCTCAGCCATGCATAAATATAGGCCTGGATTATGCTTGAAATCCTCTGTACTGCTCCAGGATGTCACTGGCCAAGTCTCAACATTCAACACATTCAGGATTTTGCAAGATTCAGGCAGTGGTCACCCCTCCACGGACCATATTCAGGAAATAATTTGCAGGATTGAGGCTATATGCTATTTTTCCATGAGGCCAATTTGAGGATTTTGCAGGATTGACGTTACATCCTAGCAAAAAGGCCTAGGGAGTTAGGGTTAACCCTAAACGATGTTATATTTGTTTGGTAGGGAGTTTGCTATTTATTATCACTCTTTGCGGACGAATGTATAAAGGATTGCATCAGCATTAAAAAGAATAAATCTCAGATGTAACAGGGACAGGAAACAAAGTGGGCCCATAATTTATAGAATGACATGTATAATTGTGTTGAAACATGAACAATTTTAAGAGTTGCATGTACATGCATTTAGCTTTGTATACAGACGGAAAACATATAATGGAGTTATTTTTGCTTTTAAAAAATGTCTTGCTCCTTAAATGGTGTTTACACGATTACAAATTCAACGTTTATACCCTGTTAACAAATCAAGACAATTTATCAAAATCAAAAAGCGACGGACTCAGCCTCAATTTTACCTTTTGTTCAGGGAAAACAAATTATTTCAAATGCAGCTGTACATTATTTTAATTTTATAAACATTTCAGCTTTGTAAACAAACAAGTTACAAAAAATATATATGATTTTTTTGTTGTGGGTGTTTCCTTGGCCCACGTAAATTTTAAAGATTTCTTCATCTTTTTTAGGAAAAAAAATGAAAACATCAATTTCAGTATTTTTAGGAGATCCGTTCACATAAGAGTTTCTATATGACCAAAATACAAAACAAAAATAATAATAAATGGCACATCCCATTGACTATTTGTTTCTCCATCCAATAGCTTTTATATGAAGATGTAATACAATAATTTCTGTACATTATATATGGCATTTTACTTTTCAATTATTTCAGCTGATTAAATTTGTACAAACCACATTTTCTCAAACTATTTACACAAAGGCTGAGAGAGAAAGAACAAACTGTTTCTTTTCCATCGAATGCAGCTTGGTAACCTCAGGAAGTATGTAGTTGTTTTTGTTTCACTTTTGCTTTCATTTATTTTATTTATTTTACAACAAGGTTTACTGGCAAGTCATGACCCAGGCACAGTTCTAGACAACAATGCAGCAATAGTGGGTTTAGCTTTCAGTTCCCTTTGATATTAAAGAGGTTGTGGAATGCTTGAAGACATTTCCGTCATTTTTCGGGTATATGTAGCCTAAGGTGTGATGAAATAAAAACGACTATTGTTTCTGTCATGAAATGAGTACAAAAGGTACGTACTTTTGAGAGCTGTTTTTCAAGTCCTGTCATGCCTGTTTCGACCCGAACGTGCAATTTGTGTAAAAGTCGTTGTTGCGGGCAGCAAACAAAACACAGTAAATCGTGACGTAATAAACAGGACTCCCGATGCAGAGTAGCATAAACGAGTCCTATTTATTACGTCACGATTTACTTTTTTGTTTTGCTGCCCGCAACGACAACTTTTACACAAATTGCACGTTCGGGTCGAAACAGGACCTGAAAAATAGCTCTAAAAATACCCTTTGTACTCATTTCATGACAGAAACAATAGTCGTTTTTATTTCATCACACCTTAGGCTACATATACCCAAAAAAATGACGGAAATGTCTTGGAGCATTCCACAACCTCTTTAACAGTACCCTTTTCTCTAACAAACCACAAAAAGGCAAATATTACAAAACTTGTAAGGCTAGACGATTTTAAGTGGGTACCATTTTAAAGAGCGGTTACAAGCACATGTTGACGTAAGGTGATCTTACTGCATCTCGTGATGGAACGGGATTGGCGAGGAAGGGGGGATCCAATGAGTTACTGGTCGATTCTCAAAGCGGTTGTTTTGGCCAAATTCAAATCTTCCACAGCTGTTCCTAGCTTTTTCTTACCCCTATTAACTTGTCAGATCAGGGATCAAGTAACCCTTTGTATTTCAAAGTAGCTTCTTCATGTGGTTTGAGGTTCCCCGACCTTTGAACCCCCATCTGTGACTTACCACCCAATTCTAACCAACCTTCAACTCTCAGCTGCATGCCTTTCTCCATGTCTTGACCTCTGAACTCAGGTTCCATAACCTTTGACCCCCACCTCTGACCTAAGACCCCCATTCTAGCCAACCCTAAAATCTCACCTGCATGCTTTTCCCTGTCATCATGTCTTGATGACCAATGAACTCAGGTACCACGAACTCTGAACCCCAACCTCTGACTTGCGATCCCATTCTAACAACCCTGAAATCTCAGCTGCATGCCTTTCCCCCATCTTTATGTCTTGACCTCTGACTTAACCCCAGGTACTCCTGTACCAAACCTCCAGAAAATGTATCCGTCAGCATCTGCCAGCATCCACCTTGTTGACCTTTGACCTCGCGAGCCTGGCCATACCGTCTGGACCGACGAGAGCAATCTGCTCCAGGTCCTTTTGATGCTTGTCCAGTTTTGTCTCATTTGCCTCCTCTTTCACAAGCTCTGCCCCCTGTTCCAACCCCTCAACCCCCTCCGCTGGGGAAGAATCTTCTTCAATTTCCTTTTTGATGGATGGGATGCTGTCCGACTCCCCGTCCAGGGACTTCTCGTCATCGTCGTCAACGTCCTCCGCAGGGCTCTCTTTGGCCTGCAAGCCCGCCATGCCCAAGTCGTACACCTCTTTGTACAGGGCAGGGATGGGCAGGTCCCCGCGGCCGACGCCCAGTTGCAGTTTCATGATGAACTGGGTGTGCAGGTTGTCCACTGTGCGGAGTTCGGGAAGTCGCAGGAGGATCTTGGCGAACATGTGGGGGTCTGAGCGGTGGTTGCGCTGCACCTCCACCTTGAGTGCCATCAGGAGCTTCGCCTGCATGGCCGCGATGGCCTTTCGATCTATCAAATTCTCCCGGTCTGTACATCAAAAATAATAACAAAAAAAGAATGATGAATGGAAAGGTTCCACAAGTTAGCGTTGTACATGTAGTATGAAAGGTTTTGATGCTCCAGTAGCTGTAAAATGGGCCTGCCACACCATCATTTTTGCTTATTACCGGTCCACTGTAAGGGAAAACTAGGTACCATCGAACACGGATAGGCAAGGCGCACACCAGGATGTATACAGCTCGAGTGTAGATTGTTGGTATTCTACCCCGGTATAGCTTCTCTACCTAGGTCATGACCAGGTTTGGATTTTATCCGTGTAGATCAACGCACCAGTGTAGGAGCCATGTTTAATTCTTGCTGGTGTGAAAGGGTCCCCGAAATCCCTGTGTTGGACGCGGGTCCAACACAGAGATTATGGACAGTTTGAAAGGCCCTTGAGTACATGTATATAGCTACAATCCCGGCCAAATCTTGCTGGGCCTTCTTCCTCCGGCCCCCGGTCAATGTTGTCTCTCATTGCACGGTCTGTGTTCCAGCTAAAGACAACAACATTTGACCGGGGGAGTGAGGGACCGGGGGAGGGTATGCTTGTTGTCACGTGTCCCCACCATTTTGGACGGGATTGTAGTTAGCTCTCTAGGAATTTGAGATAGCTCTGTAACCCAGAAAGACACATACCGTCGGCATACAGAACAATAGCAGACAGCAGCGCCAACTCGGTCAACGTCAGCCGCAAGCGGTGCAGCCGTTGGGAGAAATCGTAGAGTGACTCCACCAGCTCCGGGGGCATGAACTTGAGCATGTTGGGCCGGGTGATGAGCAAATCCTTGTTGAGCATGAAGGCGTCGTAGAGCACCAGCTCGATGCTGTCTTGCACCGTCAGGATCTCAAAGAAGCCCCCCTTGATCAGGACCATCTGGTCCTGCTGGTCTAGCACGGCAAAACCTACTCAAGGCAAAGGGAAAAAAAGTAAAGTCTGTGACAAGCCAAGATGGTACCTCAGGCCGGCATTTATGCCCAGTTTCTGTGGCTTGAAACAACTGAGAATATTTCTAACCCCCCCCCGCCTTGGATAAGATTTCAGTCCACAGGTTACTCCCCACCTAATGACGGAACCCATTTATACTCCTGGGTGGACAGAGGCCAGTGGGGGTGCAGTGGATTGCCAAAGGACACAACACATGGCTAGCAGCTGGATTCGAACCGCTAACCACTAGGATACACTCTCCCGTAGGGGCAAAGGAACAGTTCGCAGTTTCATGTACAATGTAGCTGCTCAGCAATGTATATTGCTCTTACCAGGTTCTCAGCTGATTTTTGCTTAGGAGATAAACTGTTCTGCTTTGCGGCTCCACAAAACTGGACACTGCTCCTTAAACCTACCCCAACCCCCACCCCCAATGGAGTGAAAACTTTCCATGGCACAGTGGACCAATTGGAAAGTACACTATGGGTTTGTTTGAGCATTCAATAGGGGACGTTGAACAATAGAGGACAATATATAACTGACATAGAAATCCTTGTCATTGGATTGGTTGAACTCGGATCACATGTCATTCATTATTGATCCCATCATCTAAGGAACAATACCATCACCTCCGTGCTTGCACCATCAAAGGCACCATCCCATCACCTACATGTATCTGCCGTACTACTACGTTTACTTCTCAGACCACTGGAGCATTGACAACTGAAAGGAACCGGTTCGCTGCATAAAATGCATACATGTATACCGGTACGTGTATCCAAGATATTGGAAGTTGACAAACTAGTTCTAGAGGCAAAGGGGACTTGGTCATGAATAGTCCCATCTACATGTACATGTATTAGGCTCTGTCCCAGCCTCGACTCCAGGGGCGTGTGCTCGTTCCTTACACTAACCCCTGGCTGTGATGATGACCTAAATGACACTGAATGGCTATTCACAGCGTACTGCGCGGGCATTTCGAAGATTGCACGCCGGGTGCGCCCATAATGCGCTCGCGCTCGCGTAATGAGCTTTGCACGTAACGTCACGTACAAAAAAAAAAATTATGATTCAAAAGTCGCGAAGCCTGTACGATATGGATTATGTCAGCCGCGTTTTTCGCTAAAAAAAACCTGTATCTGTGGTTGTCAAGGCACGAAAGGGGTACGTACATTTAATACAAATCTTTGCTAATTAACACAACGTCCAAACGTTGTGTTTGAAAGGATTGATTCTTGAAAATCACAACTTTTAACATTTTAAAGATGGCGCCGGCACGTAAAATGGATAAACTGCAGCCCTAATTATAATGTACCGTATTTTGGTACAATTAAATTACACAATTCCAGGGGTTACGATCGCGCAAGGCATGATGGGAAACAACATGGCGCTGCAAGATCGTACCCACGGAGTACGAGGTTGGCTCTGTCCACTTTGCAGATGGGCAACAACTCATGCTCCTCTTCAATGCCATATTGCATGTAGGACACATGTAGGACTCTTGTGTCTGCTTGTCGAGCATTAGGTGATTGTTCAAAACACCAGGTGTTTTTTTTTTGGGGGGGGGGGGTTTGGGAGGGGGGGGGGGAGCTAATGGATCAGTTTTCATTTATGAAAAAGATTTTAAAACATAGATTTTCATCCCCACCAGACAGAGTTGTAATGACTCCAGTCACGAATCGACTTGAGTCCAACTGAATTCACAAATTGATGGTGACTCGACTTGACTCAAGTCCGAACGGATAAATGACTCAACTCGACTCGAGCCACTGCGAGCAAATGACTCGACTGGAGTCCCTCACCAGAAGACTCGGCTCGAATCGAGCAAAGGATAATAAGACTTGATTCCAAAATTAAAAGCAAAACTTTGCAAAAATATTTGCAATGACTTACTGTGCAAAATTTATGTTCATGTCAATTTGCGAATACAGTACGGTACAGTGGCCGCTTGTCATGTACAAACATGTGTCACAGACTCCCACCTCATGGTTCTGGAACGCACAGAATACTATCCAGGAACCGGATTTTAAACACATTTTCCATTCGTTGTTTCATCATGGGCTTTGGGTGATTTATTATAAAGCTCCTGGACTTGAACGCCAGTTAAATATATGTCCTCCTTTTAAAGATTAAAAAGATAAATGCCCTTTTTTAAATAATCAGAAACAGTTTTGTAATGCAATTTGACTCGAAGCCAAACCAGATAGCATATATAAGATCGAAGTTTCACTTCTTAACTGTTTGTGATACAAATTCCTTTCTCTCGTCTTTATTCGTTATTGTATAGTGTTGTAATATTAGTGACTCAAATTGATTCAAGCTTCATATTTGACTCGACTCGACTCAACCTTCTTGACCTAATGCTCGACTTGACCTTAGTCACTTCTTTAACATAACTCGACTCGAGTCACTTCTTTAAAATGACTCAACTCACTTCTTTAAAATGACTCGACTCCCTTCTTTAAAATGACTCGAATCGACTCAAGTCACTTATTCGACTCACTTCTTTGAAATGACTCATTTTGACTCGAGTCACTTCTTTAAAATGACTCGACTCGACTAGAGTAAAAAATATCAGTGATTCGTTACAACTCTGTCACCCCCTCAAGGAGTTTCATGCATCTTACCTGGTATATACTTGCAGAAGGTGACAATTCTCTTGATGAACAGGGACAGCATTTGTGTGACAACAGAACACCACATCGTCAGGCCATTCATACCTGGACAAAAAAAAAGACAAATAAAGAAGAAAGAAACAAAACAAAGTTAATCTAGCTGTTTCTTCAAGTAGGCCTAATACGGGGTCAACATGTTTTTGTTAAACAAACGGCCAAGCAACCAAGATTTCAATCAAAAGTCAAAAGTGGTTACTGGCCTGGGTGGCAGTCTATTTAGACCCGCAAAATGGCATTTTATCAGTATGATTCATCTCCAAATGATTGAAAGGACTTTGTTATATCATGTATTGGATATTATAGATCAATACAAATGGCAATTAACACTTAATTGTAAATATAAATTGAAAAAAAGAAAACACTACAAAAAAGGGGAATCCAAAAGCAAACAAACAACCCCCACATAAAAAAGTCCAATAACAATTGCCTGCATGATTTACTGGGATGGCCATTTGCCCCATACATGTCCATGTATTTTTCTGTGAAGCTTTATAAAACTATCCGAGAAACAAGAAATCAAAACAACATGCTGCACCGTGCACAATGACTTGCTGCACTTTAATACATGTATCATCTTTCAAAATGGAAATTTGTAAGAGGATTTGTTTTTGTCGGTGCTTTTATCTTTTGTTTTCTATTGTAAAGCAGATTGAAAGCACAACGATGTTTTTTCGAGTCCATTAGGGATGCGATGAAACTCTTGGGAACTGACGTTGGAAATATTTTCAAAAAAAAAAAAATTGTTTAGTATCAGTTTTTTGGGTAGCCTTTAGCCAAGTCCCACGCACTTACCCGGACACGTGACGCACCCCGGATGCTGACACGTAAAAAGACTAACACGAGCGGCGAAGCCTCGAGGGCCTTTACCATCTCGTGGAGAACTCTTATGTTTTTCTTTACATTCGTCTACCGATTTGGTAGACATGCATAATGCATTACCCATTGTGAATTGACCAATGAAGATGCAGAATTACTTAAACGTAAATCAGCCGTAGCTTGGCGCCAGACAGCACGCGCCATGCTGTTGCTGGTAACCGCAAACCACCGTTAGATGATTGGTATATATTGCTTGATTTATATTACGCGAATAAATGAATAAGTGATTAGTTCCACGAGATAGTAAAGGCCCTCGCGGCTTTGCCGCTCGTGCTAGTCTTTTTACGTGCCAGCATCCAGGGTGCGTTACGTGTCCGGATGGTCCGGGTATAGGCGCGTGGGACTTGACTAAAGGCTATTTTTTTAGAAAAGCCATGACTATTTGAAGTGTGTCAATGCATGCAGTTTAAAGAGTAATCCTGCAGTCAAATTGTAATCCATGTAGATCGCATAATGCATTGTATTGAAAAGGTTTTACAAAAAGGGAAAAATGAACAGAAAAGCCAAACCATATTACACAACCAACTGAAAAATAGTAAACCTCTAATACAAAATTGGTTTATCAAAAGGAACTAAAACAATATAGAAAACAAACATGATCAACAAATTAATTTTAGTGAAACAAATCACAAAAATGTAATCAAGGGGAATAGGATATTGAGATTTTATTATTATTATTTTATTGGATATTGTCCAAACAGGTGGCTGTGCCCACTCAAAGGTGTGAGTACAATGGTAAGAATAATTTCATGAAGTGACAGATGGAAAGTTCCATTCCATGAGGCGAAGCTGAGTGAAATAGAACATTCCTTCTGTCACCTCATGAAATTATTCTTTCCATTGCATGAATGTGAAACATTGATTATTTGTTTTACACAACACCTGAATAAATCCTCGTCATCTGATTGGTCAGAGTCACCAATAGTGTGACCATGCAATGGAACTTCTATTTACCCTGGAATAGAAGTTATTTTTTGCGGTGCGGCTGGGCCTGGGGTTGGGGAGAATAATTCAATGATATGTGATCAAAGACGCACCAATCAGCATGATCAGATGACAAGGATTTATTCAGACATTGTACAGGGTGAGTAAAAAAAATGAAACCTAAATGTCGAGACCATTGTTTTAGTGAAGTTCTGCATGTAGCACTTTCAAAATCTAGGATATGAAAGCCCAATTCATAACCTTTCTTTCAGTACAAGCATCGTTCAAATCACAAATGTAATTTTCAAGTTACGGAATATTAAACACAACCACCATTTTAAAGTTCTGTCCACGGATCACAAAAAGGTAAGTGTTCTTTCAGCAAAACGAAATCAAATCACATAGGGATGTGTGAACATGTAGTTCTAGATATTATACAGGGCGATTCAAAAAAGTGAAACCCAAATGTCGGGACCACTGTTTTAGTGAAATTCTGTATGTAGCACTTTCTAAATAAATCTAGGATATGAAAGCCCAATTCATAAGCTCATCGACTAGATGTTGGCGTATAATAGACCTTTCTGCAGGGTACGCTATCTTCATAATCATAGCGAGGCAAATGAGGCAAACAAACATGGCGGCGTAAATAGTGTGTGCAGTGACCTGGTGACTCTCGCAAAGTTACAGCTGATTGACAGTCAAATGGATGGATAGCTGAAATTCTCCTGAAACATCAATCAGTATTCTGTCTCATTGCATTTTGAAGAAGGATCTTAGACTATAAAGCCTAAAACAGTGGCCGAACTGAAGTTTACGTGTAGGATAGTTAAGTTTTCGGTGTAGAACAGCACCGCCATCAACGTAAGACTTTCTATTTTCACTTTTCCATCTGTGGCATTTTCTGAAATGAAATTGCATTTATTTTGGTAGGAACTACAATCGCCTGCTCTACTAATACACAGGTGTTTAGAAGGACCGTATTGCTTTGCATGTAAACGAGTCGGGGTACAGTGCACAACCTATGAGACATTTCCCCATGTTAGAGAACTTTCTCATGTTCATACCGGGCTCCAGTTCCTCTTATTTCTGGGAAAACGGCAGGTCCTGTGTTGTAAGTAGTTCCTACAAATAAATGCAATTTCACATGTTCAAGCTCAGAAAACTCCATGGCTTTATAAGATCCTTCTATAAAATGCAATGAGACATGACCTACATGTACCTAGAATACAGATTGATGTTTTGGGGGAATTTGAGCTGGATCCACCATTCGTCAACACTTAAAGGGAATACACAACATTTGTAAACATTGAAAAACAAAACTAACACGTTTTTACAAAATACCTTACTAGGATGTTGATAAATGACAGTCTAAAGCATCCCGTAAAATTATGGCACCTGGTGTGAAGTCATTTTCAAGAAAAGTGGTATTTTGTATAAATTTCCAACAGTGGTCGGCCGACCACCGTTGGAAAAACCTAACTATTTTCCAACTACTGCTCCAAATTTACCATTTTTTTCAGTCCAAATTTCCTTTGCTTATTGTTACATGTTCACGAACGGGTGCAGGCCAGCTGGACTGGTTCCCTTACCGTACAATTTTCCGGCATCTATAAATTGATCCATTTCATCCTTAGTGGAGTCAGGGAACCAGACTACTTGAACATTTTTGGTTTTCTTGGTTTTACCAGCATTTTTGAACGCAAAACTTCAAACATGTCAGTGTAACAATATTTGATCTATTATACTAACCCCTTAAATAGCTCATTTCTGAAAATTACAGCAAAAGCCAATGATGTACACTCCCTTTAAGCGCCTTTAACAGACCTGGAATGATATCAGCACCCCTATCCACTGGCTGTGTATAAAGGTCACAGGAGCGTGATGGTTACGCACCATAGCCACAGTTTGATATACATCTACACGTACATGTGTTCGTAGATACTGCTGAAGATGATAATTCCAGATCAAATAAAAGCTGAAGTCAGACAGCACTGTATCCCCCGTTTATTTGTAAGCAGTTTATATTTTGAACATGCCAAAAGGTAGTCTTGATCCAAGACTGGATTTGAATTTTTCTTCCCCTAGTTTTGGACAAATGCAGTTAAAGGGAAGATACAACATTTGCAAACATCAAAAAACAAAATGACCATATTATCGCGAAATAGCTTACTGGATGGTTAGGGAATGACATTCTAAAGCACCCTGTAAAATCATGGCTCCTGGTGTGCTGACATTTTCAAGAAAAATGGTATTTTCCCAACGCTGGTCGGCTGACCAGCGTTGGAGAAAACTGGCTTTTTTTTCAAACAACTGCTCTTAATTTTTCATATTTAGTTTTTCCGCATTTTCTTTGCAATTGATTGCACACCTGTGAAGGGGTACAAGCCTGCTGGACCGATTCTCTGACCTTACAATTCCCCAAAGTTGACAAACTGCTCTGTTTCATCTTACATGTAAGTGGGGTCAGGGAACCAGACTCCAGTTTTTTCCAGCATCTTCAAGCCCAAAACGTGAAACAAGTCAGTTTAACAATATTTGCTATAACATTCTAATCCCCCATATCCATTTACTACTGATCATTGCAGCAAGAGCAAATGTTGTACATTCCCTTAAGTTGCTGCGGCGTTGGAGGTCTCTATCAACAAGATTGAACTTGGTAATATTGGCAGCGGTTCCAAAGAAACTTCCCAAGAAATTTCTGGGTTTTTGTTATTTTTTTTTTTTAATTAAATATGTTAGATAATTAAGTTGGGGATCAGTTTATCTGCAATCTGCCTATTGTATGCAGCGGCGGATCTAGTTTCAAGAAAGGGGGGGAGATTTAAAGGGGTTATGTGAATCTAAGGAATACCCCCCCCCCCACAACCTATGACGATTTCTCCTGCATTCTAAGGCAATTCAAGAATAAATTTACCAACTTCAGCATTCCATTTATTATTTTTGGCCCATTTTACTTAAGTTTCATAACATTAGTCAGCGGCTTGGGGGGGGGGGAAGTTACCACTCCCCCCCCCCCCTCTAGATCAGCTACTGGTATTCGGTAATAGTCGCAGTATTCTGAACAATTTCCACAGAATATGGATATTTTTTTAGATGACTCCTAATACAGCACTGCATGCCAAGACGGTGAATTTAGTGCCGTTGTAGCGTGAATTTACGTTTCTATGAAATTCGGACTCATTGGTAATACCGCGCATGCGTAAGTATGGTAATTAGGAAAGTGACCGGTCACGTGAGAGAGATTAACCAATAATAGGGAAAAGGGGTCCGATTTTCATAGGAGACGGATTTTCATGTGACACCAGAAATCAGACTTTATCCAACCACTTAAAATATTTGTCCACACAGAGACAGATGTGCTCAGTCAAAGATAGGGAAAATATTTGGGGGATACAAGCATGGCATATGGCATAGGGTCAGAGTATGTCATGAGAAAGATATTTGGCTAATGGGCCATCGCAGATTTGTCCTTTTACAAAATCTAGGTCGAATAATAAGCAATTTTAAACATTTTCAAAATGGCTGCCATTGCTTGTTATTCTACCTATATTTTTTCAAAGGACAAATCGGCGATGGCCCTTTAGCCAAATATCTTTCTCATGACTGTGTGCCAAATGCCATGCTTGTACCATCAAAGCCACAATCCAATCACTTATCTGCCGTACTAGAATGGCATATGAAAGTAAAGTCCTTTTGGTACCAGTTCTCTTTTTTCACCTGTTGTGAAATGTCAACAAATTCCCGTGTGAAGAGCGCGACTGCACTCGCATTGAATTTCCCTATTCATCTTGAGCTCTTTCAATTGTGATTATTGTTTTCATTTTGTAGGTCCTAGCAAATACTACCAGATTTCCCAATGTGTATTCTAGACGAGTGAACAAAACTGACAGTTGACGTGTTCTCGCATAATATAATCTTGATATATGTGACAGGTCAAAAGCTGGACGATACGACAAATATTTATTGTGCTGGAGAACGTTGCGAGTCTAATCTCACCATCTGCATCTACTCCTGCAGGAAGGATAAAATTGCTGTTGATGTGATTGTTAAAACCACAGTACAGGGTGTGCAAAAAAATGAAAACCACTTTTGACAGCTATTTTGACCTACTTGTTGAGCATATGTTTTAAAACTTCAATGTAATGGTATTAAAATATTGATTTTTAAAAAATAAGTGATGACAAAATGATTGCAAATGCATATTTTGTCTCTGACATAGAAGAGTTAGAAACTTCATGTGCTATTAAAAACCTGTTTGTCCATGGACGGCTTTATTCCATCCGCTTAACTGAGCTCCGGAGCTTGATTTGAAGACAAAAAACACAACACTAGACTTCATACACGTGGACAACAGTGATTTTGGTGACTTGTATTCAAATTAGCAAAACAACACTATTCTACCAATTTTTTAAAGATTTTTTTCACCATTTACGGTTGAAGAGCTACACATGTACTTCACTACCTTGTAAAAAAAATACAGTTCCAATAAGTTCAGTAAGTACCGGTAGGTCAAAATTCCTGTCAAAAGTGGGTTTCTTTCTTTTTGAACAACCCTGTGTTTTTTTTCCTTTCTTCCTTCGTCATTTTACAAATGTAGAGGGAAGACGTAATTTGATTTAAGGTGTACAATGTTCATGTATCTAACCTTTATTTCTTTGTCAGACTTTTGTAGTTTTGGGATACGGCTGTTGGTGGTTTTGGACAATTGCATCAAGTTTTAGCCAATAGTTAAACAGCATTCCAGTAATTTGTTTTTAAGGTTTGCAATTTGGTTTTATAACTGAATAATTTGTTGCTCAAACCAACCTCCCAATGTTATTGGTTTTCGTTACAAATGCAACAGCTCCATAAAAGATCCCTGATCATTTCAAGCCTCTTACTGTTTAAACAGTCACAGACAGTCATAAATTCCATCCGCTTTCCCTGCCACAGTCACCAACAGTCAGATCATATTTCTAACAAGCACTCTGACTAGACAAATTCAGTCAACAGACAAAAGCAGGCAACTGGTTGCACAGTTGTCTTATCAATCACCTTCAGTCAAAACATGGCTGTATCAAGTGGCATAAACAGTCACAGCCAGGCAATCCTGCTTTATGAAGGCTGGGAGCTCTTAACAAACCAGTCACTTGATTGATTTTGACTGAAAGGACAACTTGGCACAGAATGTATGTTTGCATAGGGGGTTAAAGGGAATGTACATCATTGGCTTTTGCTGTAATTTTCAGAAATGAACTATTTGAGAGGTTAGTATAATAGATCAAATATTGTTACACTGACATTTTTGAAGTTGGGTGTTCGAAAAGGTTTGAAAAACCAAGAAAAACAAAAATGTTCAAGTAGTCTGGTTCCCTGACTCCACAAAAGATAAAATGGATCAATCTATAGATGATGGAAAATTGTAAGGCAAGGGAACCAGTCTAGCTGGCCTGCACCCGTTCATGAACATGTAACCAATAGCAAACAAAATTTGGACTGAAAAAATGGTAAATTTGGAGCAGTAGTTGAAAAATAGTTAGGTTTTTCCAACGCTGGTCGGCCGACCACCGTTGGAAATGTTTACAAAAATACCATTTTCTTGAAAATGACTTCACACCAGGTGCCATAATTTTACAAGATGCTTGAGACTGTCATTTACCAACATCCTAGTAAGGTATTTTGTAAAAACTTGGTAGTTTTATTTTTCGATGTTTGCAAATGTTGTATATTCCCTTTAATATTGATGTTCGTTTATAGGGTATTAGGCATGTCAGTGTCCATAATGGTTGAAATTCTGTTTGTCTGTAATTTTTTTTTTACTGTCTTTTGGGGATTTTGTTTTGTTATGTTTTGTTTTGGTTGTATTTGTTTTTGTTTTGTTTTTGCTCTTTCTTTGTCATAGGTACATGTAACCTTAACCAAAATTAGCAAAACCTGTGGATTGTTTACATCACACATTACACCATAGACAAGACAATCCCTATATCCTTTTACATACAGTGTAGTATGTTTTCAATGCATATCCCAAATGTTCCGCAAACAATGGAAACTTATCTGCAAACATGACATCAGCCAGACCGTATCATATAACTGACAAATATTATTTAAAAACAATGTGTGTCATGTACATATAGCTGTCCCTATGTACGGTACGTGGATTACATACATTTGTACATGTGCATCTTGAGGACAGACACACAAAGGGAGAACAACAGATTCTCTATTGTCCTCAAGAGTTCATCTTTTGTTGAAAGCGGTCCTCGATCATGAGCTTGTGTGCTTAGTGTATGGGAGAGTGTAATATTATTCAGAAAAAGGGGAAAGACAACGCCTTGTCCTCGAGAGTTATGTAAAACATGACTACATGTCTTTATCTGTTTATGACCAAACCTTGTGTTCTTGCAATTGCTATCTTTGTTAGTTCAAATTATGTGCACCACAGCTAGAATACGAACCTCTTTTACTGTACGTGTTCATGTATTATTCGGACAAAGGGAAAGACAACACCTTGTCCTCGAGAGTTATGTAAAACATGACTACATGTCTTTATCTGTTTATGAACAAACCTTGAGTTGTGGCAGTTGTTTTCTATGTATGTTCAATTTAAGTGTACCACAGCTAGAATTCATGTACGAACCTCTTTTACTTTACACATTCCGGTACATTGGTTTTGATTTGTGACCTGTGACATGCAAAAAAATAATGGTGTATGGAAGCCCTTCCCCCCCCCCCCCCCTCCATTTGAAGTCTCTACCCTCTCCAAACTCTAGAGTTCTTACTGTTAAGTTCCAAGTCCGACTTCAGGTCCTTGCAGTCATGGACTCGGCACGGCAGCTCCAGGTTTCCCTTTAAGAAGTCGTCAAACTCGGTCTGTATAAAGCGAGAGTTACAAAGAAAGAACACCTCTTTTGGTCAATGTCAGCATGATACATGTAATATTGGACCTTTTATATGCACAGTGGCCATCTTGTATTACAGCGTATTTTTTGGAATAATTTTTCAAATAAACCACAAAGGGAGACGGACTTTTTGCTATTTTCCAGGTTTGCAGCACCGCTGATGTTGCTAGCATGGGTGTCTATCAGTTGGGGGGGGGGGGGGGGGGGGGGGGGGGGGGGGAGTCTCCCTTTAATTTGGGGGGGGGGAACACAAGTCCCTCCCCCCACTTTTTAAAGTGGGGGGATATCATATCGTTTGCCCCCCCCCCCCCACTTTTTTTTCGCCCCCCTCCAAAAAAATGTAGCCCACATATTATTCTACAGCTCAGAATAGCTGATTCAATAACTCCAAACTTAAAAATGATGTTTAAATTGTGATCCTTTGCTGAAAAAATGTGTTAAAGTGATCAGAAATTGCCTCAGATCGCACCACAGTGCGTCTAGAATCCAAAATTGTTCGGGCCCGCTTCGAGCCCCAAGCCATAACGGCTTCGTGTTTCCCGCTCGCATTAGTTCCGTTCAACGAAGTCCCCCCCCCCCATCCCCCCCCCCCACTTTGAACAGTGATTTACGCCCTTGGTTGCTAGAATTGTGACTTTGGACATGATCCCTGGTTACCTGGTATAAATGAGTTTATAGCCTAGACTCTAGGCCACTTAAACAAAGACATCGCCAACATGGGGAACCGCTAACATACATATACCGCTCGATAGCTCAGTTGGTAGAGCACCGGAACAACAATCCGGAAGTTACAGGTTCAAAACCCCACTAAGGTCAATTTCTTTGTTCAACTTTGAAAAATAAAGGGTTTTGTTTTTACGCTTAATTCAGTAACAATGAATGCACAAAACATCTAATTGTGCATACAAGTCCTGGTATCTTGTGTTTTTTAGTTTTGTATTGTACCCAGTGTCAACAAAAGAAGGAATTTAGTGACCCGAAATGCCCTTCGTGCATGGTTAAAAGAAAAGTGCATGTCTACGTAAACATTACTAAATACAAGGCGAGTCAAAAACCAAGTGGCCTTGACTAATGATTTTCTTCCCCTTACAAAGCAATAACATTGACACACCAACGAAGCATTAAATGAGCATTTCCCTTCCACACATTGGAAAACGGAATAACTGACATTGATCCATGCTATGAAAAGTTAATGCAATTTACTAAACTTTATAATCCCTTTTTTACAGCTTTTTATGGAATGCCATATGAAGCTACATGTACATGTATTTGGCTGAATTACACACAGAGATTACACACAGGCATTCAGATACAAATGTCATTTTCACAATTTTTGTCGCAACTAAAACATTTCTTTTACTGTCATATTTTGTGTTTTTAATATGAGGAATTTTTTTCTGAAATAATGAGGGTGGTTTTTGTCTGTTTTATGCAATTTTCATTCATTCATGAAGGCAGGAAGGTTGTTTCATTGTACTTGAACAGGGTGACGGTTCAATGTTCCGACACCCCTCTGTTCCGACAACCCCCACATAAGATTGTGTTACTCCCGGCTAGGGTTAGGGTTAGGAATGTGCAGTCGGAACATAGGGGTGTTGGAACACAGGGGTGTCGGAACATAGGGGATTCGAAACATAGAGGTGCAACCCTTGAACAGTAAATGATCATTGGTGGAAAGCTGAAGTTCGTGGTGTTTGTATTGAAATAGACATAGCTTGTAAACATTTTTATGAAAATTACGTGAAATGCTCACAGTTGCTAGTCAATACTATTTGTCACACTACACCACTGATGATTGATCACCACCCTCTGTTTGTACTGAACATGTACCCCTATATAAACCTTGTATGATGATGCCCCGCTTCATTGCATCTGATGAAGTAGTTGTTGCTACTAAAGCTACATGCAAACTTATAGTGGTACTAGGCCTTAAGAGGGATCCTGGCTTTTTGTCACACTACACCACCCTCCGATTTTACTGAACATGTACCCCTATATAAGCCTTGCTTGATGATGCCCCTCTTCATTGCATCTGATGAAGTAGTTGTTGCTACTAAAGCTACATGCAAACTTATAGTGGTACTAGGCCTTAAGAGGGATCCTGGCTTTTTGTCACACTACACCATTGATACCGGTAATTGATTGATCACCACCCTCCGTTTTTACTGAACATGTACCCCTATATAAGCCTTGCTTGATGATGCCCCTCTTCATTGCATCTGATGAAGTAGTTGTTGCTACTAAAGCTACATGCAAACTTATAGTGGTACTAGGCCTTAAGAGGGATCCTGGCTTTTTGTCACACTACACCACCCTCCGATTTTACTGAACATGTACCCCTATATAAGCCTTACTTGATGATGCCCCTCTTCATTGCATCTGATGAAGTAGTTGTTGCTATGAAAGCTACATGCAAACTTATAGTGGTACTAGGCCTTAAGAGGGATCCTGGCTTTTTGTCACACTACACCATTGATAATTGATTGATCACCACCCTCCGTTTTCACTGTACATGTACCCCTATATAAGCCTTGCATGATGATGCCCTCTCCATTGCATCTGATGAAGTGGTTGTTGCAACGAAAGCTAAATGCAAACTTATAGTGGTACTAGGCCTTAAAGGGAAAATACAACATTTGCAAACATCATAAAATAAAACTACCAAATCATTTTGAAAAACCTTGCTGGACTGTTAGTGAATGACAGTGTAAAGCATCCTGTAAAATCATGGCACCTGGTATACTGTCATTTTCAAGAAAAGTGGTATTTTTGTATCAATTTCCAACGCTGATCGGCTGACCAGCGTTGGAAAAACTGGATTTTTTTTCAAATACTGGCCCCAGTTGACCATCGCACTTGTTTGCAATCGATTACACACCTGCATATGAACGGGTACAAGCCGGCTAGACTGGTTTCCTGACCTTACAATTCCCCAATATATGTAAACTGCTGTGTTTCATCTTAAATGGAGTCAGGCGAACCAGACTACAGGAAAATGATTGTTTTTCTTGGTTTTTATAGCATTTTCGAACCCAAAACCTCAAAAAAGTCAGTGTAACTATATTTGCTATATATATTTCCAACCCCCCATTCCATCCATTTCTGAAAATTACAGCAAAAGCAAATGATGTATATTCCCTAGCTTTAAGAGGATCCTGGCTTTTTGTCACACTACACCATTGATAATTGATTGATATCACCACCCTCCCTTTTTACTGAACAAGTACCCCTATATATAAGCCTTGCATGATGATGCCCCTCTTCATTGCATCTGATGAAGTACATGTAGTTGTTGCCTTGAAAGCTAACATGTATGCAAACTTTCATTCCAGTTGACCTACCTTACTTTTATATACAGGGTGAGTAAAAAAAAAGCAGAACCCAAGCCCCAACAATTATATTTCATATTTGAAAAGATTTGTAGCACCAACAATAATTATGACTGGAAAGCCAATTTCATAAGCTACTTTTAGATGAAAAAAATTCTGAAATTGGTCAATCCGTTCAAAGAATATCACCATCTAAACACAATGACACTAAAACCTGTCTCGTCCAAAATATGCGATTTCAAGAATCGTCGCCACAATTGTCTTCAAACATCACTTGATAAAATCTCAGTTTAAACATTAATATTCAACAAAGTCCTTTTGAAGGCCCGTCTTAAAAAAAAAGAGGAGATTTTATAAACCATATTGTTTGCCTTACCAGGGTTTTTAATAAAGATACTGTGTACTACACTTGGTGACAGTTGTTGAAACAAGTGTTCTATGTCGTTTTCTTTGCTGTTCCAAACAGTCAAAACACACAATAAGTTGCTTTTATTTTTCAACGAGACAGGTTTTAGTAGGGTCAATGCGTTTCAATGGTGATATTCTTTGAATGGATTGAGCAATTTCAGTATTTGTTTTCATCTAAAAGTAGCAAATGAAATTGGTTTTCCAATCATTATTATTTTTGGTGCTACATATTTTTTAAAATATGAAATATATTTTTGGGGGGATTTGGGTTCTGCTTTTTCGACTCACCCTGTATTTGATTTTGCCTGACTAACAGGGCTGCCCACCACTTTTAGTCAATAATATGCAGTGGCGTAAATCTGTGCCGGCGAGTGGGGAGGATGGGGGATGACCTATATCCCAAAATTGCCCGGCCGTGGAAATTCTAAAAAAAAAAAAGGGGGGGGGGGGCTGACACCACATTCAGGATATAGATGTATTTTAATATACTCGAGCTTACATCAAAAAGGCGTATTTTAAAAGCTTTTGTTGTTTGTTTCTCCACTTTTCAGTGATACTGCATACATTTTGGTTGTTTGGGATTGAAAAATTACCTCAAAAATTATTTTTTGTTTTCTCATCACGAAAAAGTGGGGGGATGATTCAATAGCCCATCCCCCCCCCCCCCCCCCCCCCCCGTCAAACAGTGGGGGGGATATATATACCCCCATTCCCTCCCCCCCCCCCCCCCCCCCCCCCCCCCGGGATTTACGCCCCTGATAATATGTACTTTATCCCTATGTTATTTTTATTCAATGGAACGAATCTCATATTTTTACAAATATTTTTTTCTCATTAGGGCACTTCCTTTTGACTCACCTTGTACATAAACATGTACCATCACCAGGTGCTTTGACAAAAGAGATTCAAAAGGGACTTTTATTCAACAAAAAAAAAGGAACTTGGGGCAAAATCGTTAGGATGTCTAGACAATTAATAGCCAGCCAACAACCGCGATGAACGCGAATTTACATGTACCGATAAACTAGCTACCAGTACGTGTACATGTCCGCCCCTGACTATGGCCACTGTAGCATGACAAATCCTAGCCAATAAAAGGTTCTTTGAAAACACGAAAGCAAGCACAGAAGAAGCGGCCCCAGGATTTGAAGCAGCAAAGCAAAGCCCTCATCAAAGTATGACTGATGACGTTTCTGCATCAGTTCCCACTCAACAAACAACACCTGGACAACAA